AAAGAGAGAGAGAAAGGGGGGGAAAGAGAGAAAGGGGGGGAAAAAGAAAGTCTATGTCAGAATTTTAAAAAGGCAAGTTTGATGACACAAATTTTATGGAAACCTTGGGGAAAAAAGATGGAGAGGGAGTTGGTTCAAATGTTACTGAAAAAAAAATTCTTTGCACATTTGTTTTTGAGATTTTCTGAGTGAGAATTCACGTTGCTAAGAACAGAAGAAGAAAAGGCCACTCTTCTGACTACAGATTCTTTGCCTCTCCTTGCCCGTTTTTCTGCCTTAAATAAAGAATGCAGTGGTGAATGCCCACAGTATCTAGCATCCAGCTTTTATACTCCACTTCCTCTTAAGACTTCAAAATGCGTTGCAAAGGAGCACAGTCACACCTTGTTCTCCACTTGCAGAAATTCAAGCTCATGGAGAATGACTTGCTGAGGGTCACCTTGCAAGCCACCAACAGAGTCAAGAGCAGATCTCAGATCCAGTCCAGTAGTTTAATTCTGCTTCCCTAGCAAGACAGTAATTCAGTGGGTGGAAACTAACGGATGGATGGTGAGTTTTACAGATGCAGAGTTCTGCTTCTGCAATGATCTTCTCACAGACCTGCAAAGCACACACTCAAACCTTCTTTGTTCATGACACTCTTGAGAAATGTATTGACATTTACTGAATTTCAGTATCAGCACCATAGGCTGTAGTCCTGTAACAAGTTCATGAGAACGAGAAAAGCTCATCCATGTAAGGCCACTGGTGGACTCCTGCCCCACGAAGCTTGTGATCATTTCTGGGGTAGAGGTGAACACACACGTGCGTACAGATGCACAAACACACACACTCAAGCCATGAACTATGCTTCTTCTTAACTGAGTAATTTCATGTTATAAAGTTTATAAAGTACTGTATGAAGTACTTTGAGACAATTTGTAAAAACAATAAAAATCAGTAATACCGTATAGACAAGATAACTTTATCACATCATCCTCTTTATTAGTAGGTACTTGCTATTAGTTAGAGAGATCATACTGTACGTGGAAGCAGACTGTACACAGACTTACATGTGATCCCAAATGCTAATATATCCTCTGAACAAGTGAGTGAGTGACCTACATGATTTGTTGTGATTTTATCAATGGAAGAGAAACTGTTTTACCCAGAGAAGAGAAAATCATAGCTGGTGTACGTTAAAAGAAAGAACTCTCCAGATGAGTCCCAGTTCTTCTGCAAGTAGTATATCCACGCCTAACACAGTGAGACTGAAAGAGCGTCTCCTTCAATTTTTCCTGACTGCCAGTCATGTTTCTAGTCAAACTGAATAAAGACAAATTGAAGGAATCTAAACTTTATACAAAATCAATATATGGTTACTATATACAAGTGCCACCCAGGGGAAGATGTGAGTAAGAACTGTGTTAAGATAGACAAGAGAGATTAAAAAAACCCCACCATATTTTATTGTCTGTGTTTTTTTGTTTCTTTGATTTACAAGGAGACTAGATGGTCTTATTTAAAAAAAAAAAGAGACCCAAAAAACCACACAAAAAAACCCCAACTAACCTCCCCCCCCGCCCCCAATGCCCCTAGCTACTAGCCCCTGAAAACCCACCAAGGCTAATAAGTACGAGAAAATTATTTTTGCTTTCTTCATAGAATTAAGTGCTTCACAACAGCAGCTATTCAAAGACAGAGAGACTTGTGGGAGAAAAAACCAAATTTAAAAAAACCCAGCAAAGAAACGAAACCCCCCCCACCTCTTTGTCAAATAGGGCTGAAAAAGAGTTTTGTTTATTTTTTCCAAAGATCCAGTTTGACTATTACTTATGTAAGTGTCAGAAGTTTTTATAGACTGCCAAGTCAGTATACTGAAGCATTAGTGCTACAGAAATTGCAAAATAGAGAAATCCACAATTTTTTTCACCATCATGAAAAACAAACCCAAACAAGAAAATTCTCAGTATTTAGTACCATTAAAAATTTTTTTTAATCAATTCTTCACCTAAAACACAAAAAGCAGCAGAGGACAAAAACTGGCCAACATAAAATAGCTGGTAAAAATCCAGCACAAAGTTGTAATGGATGGTACATCTTGCCAGACAACTGGCCTTAATAAAAGCAGCAGAACACTCTTGCAAGAAGTTCAGAAGGACAAAATTTCTACAGAATGTGCTCATCTTGTAAAGGGGAAGCAGAAACCAGGGAAAAAACTGAGAAAATAGAGAATACTTAGCTGTAAGAGGATATGAAACACCTCACCCTTACGCAATGATTGGTTTCTCTGGTTAAAGAAGCATCTGCATTTTTTAAGTGTTTCTGAACAAAATATTTTAACAAACGAGCATATAGACTAGTAAACATATACTCACACATAGGCAGCTTACAAGGCTAGACAAGTTGACATGTCGAGGAGCAAACATGTGAAGCTGCTGAAGGCAAGAGATGGCTTGAGCCTGAACAAGGCAGTCAGGATTATCCTGCATCACTGCACAACCCAGGAGGCAGGAAGTTCTTAAGGCTGAAACTGTCGTACTGCTGCCTATATTTGGAAGAAAAAAAGGGGTTTGTTTTTTGGTTTTAAAACACTTTTTTTTCAAAATATGATGACCTGTCTTTTTCCCAAGCCACCCATAACTTTCATCCTCTTGAAGGATACTTTCTACACCTGTGTTATGCTCTGGTATCAATGAGTAATGGTCACGTTGCTCTCTGGAAATTTCAGTGTCCAGCTAGCTAAAAGTAGATTTAGACGCAAATGTTAAATGTCTGCATCACAGCTAAGACATAGACTGACTCTTAACTCTTGAAATACGAATACTTTCTGTTTTCATGCCAAAAGTAAGAATTCTCAGCCCAAGGCAAGGAGAACCAGTTCAAAGGAAAAAAATGTCAAAAAGAGACACTATTTTTGGAAAACTAGCCATCATGTCATCTTGATTGCATAAACTCATGGCCTGTGAAACAGTCTTAAAACAAGGCAAAAAAAATTAGCCTGCACTTATTTGTTGATAAAATTTGAGTTACACATTCAAACAATGTTGAGGAATTTTGTTGCTAAATCAAAGCTGACACTACTGTCTGTTGCATACCTTGCAATTCAGGGCCCAGCGTGGTAATAAGGGCATTTAAGCAGCGACCGAGGCTTTGGTGAACTTCAGCATAAGCAGGAGGCACAGTCAACAACAACATGAGAACAAGAGATAAGGTAGGTTCCACATGCACATGATACAAAGGGCCAGCTAAATCTACTATCAGTGACAGAGAGTGTAGTGCCCATGCCTGTAAAATAAGAGAAGCTGTCATGTAATGTCTGTTATGACAGAATAAACATAAGGTCTTGTTAAAATTTAATAGTCTAAGTGAAATTCAGCAATTAAGTGTAATAAAAGTTGCACTTTTAGGTTCCAAAGGGACAAATGGAGAGGTTATAGAAAGAAACTTTAAGAACCTGATGCTTAATAAGCAATTTCGAATATTTTACAAGGAACTGTATGTTCTGCAATGAAAGAACCATTTTAAATTTGTCATTCTTAATTAAAAAAATGTAATCTAATAGTAACTTAATAGTGATTATTGTTCCTCAAATACATTCTACTCTTCGTAAAATTTTTTACAGTTCCATGTGCAAGAGAATTATGAAAAAACACTAGAGTTGCTGAAATAACATATTGTTTTAGTCTCAGTTACTTTGTACCAACAGCCACATCAGTTTCATGTCAACATACAGTTCCTCTCTGCATAAAGATATTGTAGATAAAGCTTAAAAAAATTCTTTAACTGAGATTTAGACAATTCCATGGAATGCACTCAATGTCTCTAAAAGCTATTCTGATATATAACAGTTTTAGCCACAGAGAAATAATTTTAAGTAGTCTCCAAAACATCTTGTCTTATTCAAGAAAGTATATTGACCAAGTTCAACAGCATTCAGGCTACAAATCCCTGTTATTTACTGCATAGCCCTTCAAGAAAAAATGCTGTGAAGTAAACATTGTAGGAGAGACTGACACAAACAAGAAAACCTAAGTACTATCTAGCCAAGTTTAATACATAGGTGAATGTGAGATTAATCAACTCCTAAAACATCAGATACCATTTTTGAAGCCAGCATATCTTAGCCTTATCAGCCTCATTGATCATTAAATAACAACCTTCCATATCTCATCATAGTTCTTGCTTTCAAGGTGGATTTCAAGCAGAGGCTATGCTTCATGCTATTGCCTTTGCTGCTCCAGCCATCACCTGTGAGGTATGCCTAAGAGGTTGTGAAGCGTTATTCTTACAAAAAAACAGATAAACTCCAGAATATAAATCAGTTAATTTGCAAGACAGCATTTTTAGATAAGTGACAAGTACCTGTACATCAGGAGAAGTAGTGTCCTGAGATAAAGTATAAAGGATTCCAACACATGCATTCAGGTGCTGAGTAGAACCTATTCCTCCTAGGTACCTATATAGACATCCCAGAGCCAAAGAATGACCTGTTCTTGACACCACATCCCTAGCAGATTTTAGCCTATTAATTAAAAGGAAAGAAAGCTGTTAGTGTAATCACCAAGACTGATACCATGTAATACGCGCATCTACAAATGGAATTTCTAGTTTCATTAGAAATTTTATTAGACACTGTTATATCGCCAAAATTCTAAGTTCATTTATAATCTTATCTGAAAGAAGTACCGAAAAAACCCCACTTTAGATATACACAAACGATGTTGCTAAAACAGCAGACAGTTTAACTTATTTGAAAGTCTACAGGCTTACTTAGACAATCCTCTTATAGATCAGCAAAGCTAAGAAATACATGCAGAAGTCAGTCAGGCAGTGCTTTTTCCTATTGATTTCTGAAGTGACATCAAATTCATGAAGGAAACCAACTTTTAAAAATTATTATCATAACAGGGGCCAGGTAGATTTCCTCAAACATTTTTATAAACTCAACCAGCATGTTACCACACTTCTTTTGAACTTACTTGTCAAAACTGACTTGTGCTAATCCAGCAGTGAAGGAAGTGTCAGAAACCACCTGTGCCAATCTGGCCAAACACTCTGCAGCAGCACATCTCAGGAGTGGATTATTGCTTTCCAAGGCACCCATTACTAAGGTCAGAGCAGACCTCCTAACTTCTTCTGAACCTAAACTTCCCTTGCAGTTAGCCAAGTGCTAAAAATAGACATTAAACATATTAAACAGCAAGACAGTATAGCAATCAGGATGTGTTTTTCTGTCAGTCATGCAAAAATTACCTGCAAAAGGAATTTGATTTTCTTCCCCTTTTATCTGAGGAATTCCTCTATTTTTATTTGCTGTTTTGAGAGTTAGAAGCCTAACTCCACGTAAGTGTACAGCGTAGCACAACATTATGACATCACATTCTCATTTTAAGAAATACCAGATAGATTGCAGTAGAACCCAGTAAACCAACATACTCGCATAAAACTCAGGAAATAATATCAAGAAAAAAATCAGTGAAAACAGAATGACACAAAGAAAAATCCCAGTCCAAGAAAAAGAACAGAAGCAAAAGCTACAGCAGTTACCTGGACTGCGTATTAACTATGCCCCAAATACAAATATTGTACAATGAAAGGTCTTGTCTAGTCTGAAAACATTTTGCCTTAGTCTGAAGAAAGTCTAAGAAGGAAAGAATGACAACTGCACAGGAACAGAGGAAAATACCAATAAAACATCAGGGAAAAGCAACAAATGGCAGACAGTTATGAGATTATTTTACCAATTGTTACTTTTTTATTTATACAGTAAGAAATACAAAAGAGACAGTAATAAAGACAAGAAATTATATAAGAGAATTTTTCCATCTCTCTCCTATTTGAATGACACTAGTATGGATGACAGTATACTACAGTGTACTAGAATGGGTTTCCCTAACCCTTTAACATTAAAAAAGGGAAAAAATAAAAACTGTGACTCCTCAGCAGTGAAGAAAAGTGTTACATTACAAAACAATACATTATCACAGAAAACAGGACTGATCTTCACCTTGACTGTTAACGAAAACAATAACTTCAGTGTAGATACATTCGAACCAACAGGTGCCATATTTTAGTAACAGAGAGAGGAGAGAAACAAAGGAGATTTACCTTTAAGGAAGTAGAAAAGGCTGACACTACATTTAGTTGTACTATTTGTTGCCGTGATCCTTTTGCTTGCTTTATGGAATTCAACAACTGTTCTAACACCTGGAGCCTTAAACAAAACCATAAAAGAAACCACAAAATTAAAAATTAAGGAAACAAATCAAGCTTTTTAAATTTTATTTTAAAACACACAACAAAGCCCAAGAGGTGGACCAAATCTATTAACCTAACTCTTGAGCACTTTCCTTCAACTGGCAACCTTGTCTACTACAAAAAATTTCTGTATTCCATATTAGAATATAAATTTTTGCCTTTGTTTTTGTTATAACATACGTATCCACAGATAATTACTTATATCTAAGTAACATTAGACAGCTGTTATTAAAAGGAACTCTGTATGGGAATTACGCATTTTGACTTACAACTGAGAAGGGAGGAGGGAAAAGAAAAAAAAAAAGAAAATGTAGTTATTTGCATCAATTACTTTAGGTCTTGAGAAACAGGTGAAGAAAACCAACCAGCAACCTGAGGACAGTGGGGGCAAAAAGCTCAGATAAACACACAAAAAAACCCCACACAAAAAAAAAGCAATCAGTGAAGACAGAATAAAGAAGTAAATGCAAGTCAGAACAACATAACAAAGCATGTGGCAATTTTATTGGCAAGTATGCTCATATACAAACAGCTGCCTCAGGACTACACTAAATCCCGAGCATTCTAAGAAGTGACAACATCAAGACTCACGATTCGCATGCTAAGTACTTATCCCTCAGAGGAAATTACAAAACCGTCACCACCTATAACGATCATGATCCGAGGTCTAACTACAGTTGGCTTTGAAAATACAAAGCTGTTTAATTAAAAAATAATTGATTTGCTTTAATGCTGCATTCAAGAAAATTACCAGCAGTACACAGAACAAGCAACAGCATGAAAAAATCCTGAGGAATTTCATGCCTCAGCAATTGGTGTGCTTATAACACAAACAAACCAAAGTGCCACGTGTGCAGTAGGAAGATACATACACACACACAAAACCAAGAGGTTTGTTATCACTTTAAAGCATTCTTGAACTGCATTAAGACACATACTCTTGTTCCTTCCCATCTACTTTTTATAAAGAATAAGGCAGGGTAAGGGTAAAATTTTACTGCAGCTTCCTACCTCTTTTGTCCCTCTTTAGTAATCATGTATTAAGCACTACAACAATTGTGTAATATCTCTTAAAATAACTTCTATTTTAATCTGGCTATCAAAACAAAACATTATTTTTCTTGGTCAAAAGAATTTATTATAATGACGGTATCCTCTTACTGGATGAGCCTTTTCATTGTGAGTAACTTTGTAAACAGAGTGTCTAACAATTTGTCAGTCTGAATTATATTATTCAGATGGTTTACGGAATCCACTTATACAATTCATTATTTTTTCAGAATTGTTTTCTTCTGTGTTCAATCTCAAACACTGTGACCATCTTCTAGCATCTCCCAAATTCTGTAACAGTAACAGTTACAGTTACTACTTTACCTGTGAGATTCTGCTACATGAGAAAACATAACTCCAAAAAGACGAGTTGCTGCACTGATAACAGACAATATGGGAGGTAGTGGTGTAGGTACTGAATCACCTTTTGCAACTTTCTCATAAATTGAGTAAGGGTCATACTCCAGGCTGCCACCAGCTATGCTGTTACCTAAAAGGAGCTGTAAGAAGGAAAAAAATGATAGCTGTATTTTTGACCAACTCAAAACCAGCACAGAGCCAAATAATTAGAATTGTATGAAAACATAATGCCACCATTATACTAGATCAAAAAGTACCTGCTCTTCGATAAATCTGTGGTCAGTCTCCTGCAGTAAGGGACCAAGTAAAAGAAGATCATTTTCATGACAAAGGGGTGGAAGCAAGAATGTAGAGGCATCAATCTGGCTATCTGGGACAGTCAAATCGGTCACCAACTCTTTTAGAACATCACAGAAGCTTCCTTTAAATTAAAGGGAAAAAAAATAATTACAATTTTCAGTTAATTACTTGCCACTAGCAGCTCTGGGACCAAGATATTTATACCAAAAGAGCAACATCCATTGAACAGTCTTCAAACAGTTATTTGGAGAACACTCTCACTACGGGCAAAAACAACAGAGCACTACCCAACATAAGCAAACTAAGCACATAGAGCAATCTAGAAGCTGAAAACCAGAGACTTTTACCTTTACAGAAGGCATAATGCCATACAGCTTCTAATCCAGTAAGTTAGTTACATTTACAAGTAAAGTAGAGGAAAAAAAGGCAATTACAAGCACAGCCATATTTTCTTCTATTTCCTGAAAATTAATGCTGTGGAATGTATTACATAGCCATGCAGGAATACTTGGACTTGGCAAGCAGATGTAATTTAAAACATCCATAAGTTTGATAAATAACTGAAAGCTGCAGAATGTACTCCCCTATTTCAGGAGTCTGCACTCAAAAAGCAAAGCATGAGGAATTTACTGTAGATTACATTATGATAATTTACATCGGTAGTTAAAACTTTCACATATTTTTGTACATAATATTTCAGACAAGGTTGTACATTACACATAAGAAACAACATTAGGTATGCCAAGTCACACCATTCTACATTATTAAAAGAGTCCCTGCAGTGAGAGAACATTTCCAGTGCTGAACCACACATGATTAGAAAGGTCTGGCTTATCTGATAAGTTGTATTGAAAAACACTGCAGAACTGATCTTACAGAACGTAACATGTCTTTATGCAAATATTATGTAAGAATTGACCTTCAGAGCATTAAGACTGCAAAGTCAAGCCCCCATGACCTGGGAAATATTAGCATTAAGGGGGTCTTAACTCCACATAACCAGTTCTTTGCATTCAGTTTTGTCATTAGATGACCACAAAATCACCCATTTGTGCTGAAGTTGCTTATAATTTTTCAACACACAGAAGTTCCAAAAAGTGAGACTACACAGTTACCAGCACTGCACGAGCACAAGCAGAACCATTTCTTATAGCTGGAGCTGGTAACTGCAACCAGCTATTTTACCCTTCCTGTATCTTGAATCCGTTCTGAGAAAGCGGACTTCCTCCCCCCTACCCCCAAACTGCTCTCACCCTCTCCCCTGCAGGCATCTGTTGCTTTGCCTGTCTCCCTGACTAATTAGTAAGTACATCATTTTTCCCAAAACACTTAAATCTAATTGAAAAGGTTAGCACTACCAAATATATTCCAAGATGCAGAGATAGTGTGTGAAAGGGACAGAAATTGAGCCTTTTTAAAAAACACGATAATTAAAACCAACAACTAGAAACTGCTCTTTCATTAATTATTATAGTTCACAATTAAAAAAAAATTAAAAATCCCCTTTCTATGAAAACAGCTTTTCAAATAAAATTTAATGGAGATGCTCAGCAATTTTTAACCAAATTAACATTTATTTTAGTCTCAGACACTTGGCCTTCCTCAACATGTCAAATAATATTATCCCAATGTAAAACAGTTCAAAATTTTGAGCCAGAATACTGTTCCAGCATTCTAGCTATTCATCTCATCCTATTAAGAAAGAGAAGTGAATGCTTGTATTCAATTTTATGGTTTAGACAGCAGAACATAACAAGGACAAAAAGCTGAAGAATGAAAAGAACCATAATGAGTTGTCTGACAAAACACATTAATTTCAGACCACAGAAAACATCAACAAATCTAATAATCAAAATGCAAACTACTGAAATGATTTGTGTGAAATTCTCAAATTGGACATTATAATAATTAAAATTTTTATATTCACTCACAGGAAATAAGTGTTTTAGGTTCAGAAACATGAGCACATTATAATCCAAACTAATGACACATGAAAATGACCACAAATATGAATCATCTTAGAAACACAACTAGCTTTTCCCAGCTTAACAAGTCTGTACTTTGGATCAGCTAAATTGCAAAGTCTGAACCATTCACACATGAAGGAGGACAACAACTAAAACATGTTAAATGTATTTCACCTATGTTCAAGTTAACCTAACACCTTTTTCTCATATCTGTCATTGCTGAAATAATGCAAAAAATCAGCTACTACTCATGCATGCTCACAGTAAGCCTTCATAAAATTCTACGATGACAGAAAGCAGTAAGAGAAACACCAGAGAGGCAGAAAGAGAGCAGGAAAGGACCAAGCAGAGCCTAACAAGTCCTAGTATCTCAGGCCTCAGAAATCCAAAGGTTTGAACTGAGAAAGAGGCTTGGGTCTATGAATAAAGAATCTGCTTTCAACTATTTATTTTGCTGGGTATTTTGTTTTGTTGCTCTTGTGCTAAAGAAAATGAGTTTTGCACATTATTTGCAAATACTAAAAGCTTGAGTTACAACTCCTACTATATGTCCCCATCACTGATTTTTTCAAAAAGAAACAACTTGGAGGTTTCTAGCCTCTGGCTCACTGCCCGGATCAAAGAAAATGAAAAGAAATTAAACATGAACTGGTAAAAGCATCTCATTCAGCCTGTCACCCTGAGACATGCAAACTGTGCCACACGGTGCAACACAAGAGTACTCCTAATACTGTTCCTAGTGATAACGACTAAAAATAGACATTGAAAAAAGCATCCTGGGTTCCATAATCATATTGTTTTCTCACATAATTTATTTTAAAAAATCATTGTATTTGCAAAGACATACAACTTCTGCATGAAGCTGTCATACTGGAAATAATATGGAAAGAATGGTGTTTGTTTCAAGCTTTACCTTAAAAACTTTTTTTTGCATTTGTAAATGATGCACAGTTATATGTTGAAGTATATAACAGATCTTGAAAACAAGCTCTGGCAATATATGCATTTCTGTTCTTTCCCCACTCTCATACTGCTGTACTACAAACAGGTGGACAGCTCTGAGACTACATCTGTCAAACTGCTGTTTTGATTCTAAGGCTTGTCACAAAGCTTTCACCAGGGTGATCACTTCTTTATAAGAAACCTTTTAAGCTTTCTCTTTATTTATTGGTTCTAGAGTGCGGCATCCTCAGCGAGGATACTCTCTCTCAAGTCAGGCTTTGCAGCTCACACTGTAAAACACTGTATTTTTCAGTAAAGTTAGACCATATACAAAAATCCCAAACCCACCAAGAAACCACAAACCCACCCATACCCGAATTTCTGTGTTCTATAAAACATCATCCCTGTAATAAAAGAACAGAAGAAATAAATTGCTGTAAGGAACGGAGGTGTCATTTTCAGTCGTTTAAGCCCAGGTCACAAATGAATATTATACACTACGTTTCAAGCATTATATACAGACTTCTAAGGTGACAACAGCTTGAAGGCAAAGGTCAGGGATCTGTCCTTAGGAAGATTCACTTAGCAGTTACCACTAGATGGAGCAGATTATTTGAGTAAGGATTCCCTCTATGATACGGAGGACCCAGCCAATTCCTGGCCTGTATTCTCTCTGTCCTGATGAAATACCCTGTACTTTACAACTGTCAAAAACATTCTGGTTCTTTATTTCAGGCCATACAGTGCTCTATGGCAAACAATTTGAAGACGACAAAGGTATTCAATGTTTCAGTTGAACTGTTAGACCTGTCTAACTACAGTGCACAGTTATTGGATTACAGGATTAGATTTGAAATACTGCTAGTTACGTTCTGCTACAGAAAAGGAAGTCTATCCCCAGATTTTGCTGAAATTTTCCTTTATATACAGTCTTTTTATCCACAATCTGCACAGGATTGGATTAATATCTGTAATGTATAAACCTACTTGAAGCTAATTAAATTAAATTCTTTCAATGGACTATATGCAATTGATTTATACTAAGATTATACCTTTTGGAATTAGGATTCAATGCAAAGTAAAACAGGCATCACAGAAAACGAATTACTCAAATAGTTTAATATTGCAAAGTTGTCTGCCTTCAAGTTTCAATTAAAAATAGGACGAAGTCTGAATTTGTAATAGGACAGGGGAAAAATAGAAGATCATGAACACTAGCTTTTCAAAATCACAGCAACTTCTCTACAATTTCACCAAATTCAAATAGAGGGAATAAAATTTATTTATTAGAAAAGGTAGAACTAATTCTTGCTAGCTGAATTTATGTTTAACAAAAACTTAAAAATGAGCCCATGGAATTTCTAATGGATTTCTCTTTGTAAGGAAACACATACCTTCGTAAGTCTTCGGAGGCAATACTGCTAGTAATTCATAAAGTTTATGCCTGTAAACCGTTGATGGTGTTTTTAAAGAATTTCCATATGACTTATATATCGAAGAAAGCCTTAAAATATAAAAAACACATCAGAGATGGTAAAGACTTTAAATCATTATGGAACACCGATTTCATTTGTACCACTCTACTGAATACTTTAAAAATCTATACATACTATAGGTACAGTTTTGATTTGCACTACCAACAGTAGAAGCAAAACCATTTGTTTCACATGTCCTGACAGAACACCTGTTCTCCATTCCCAGTCATTATTTTTATTTAATACTAGAGAAATATACAAGGTTTTCTATTTCCTTTGATTGTACCTATATTTATTACAATTAACTTTTTTGTGGAGATACCTCTATAAGAGTTCAGAACCCAAATACATTAAATCACTACATATTCTGAAGGCAAAAGTTTAAAAATTGTAAAAGCCTTTCCAGCTTAGCTCTGAATCTAAACACTAAAAATGCCCATGTCTAAAACTTTTTGTCCAAGAGGATTCTTGACCTTTGTTTTTTTATTTTATAAAAAATGACCATGCATAAGCATGAACATGTGGGTTTGATTTAAAAAGCGGAATAAAAACACTAACATAACAAAACAATGCAATAATTTCTTCCTGAGCTTTTTTACATAATACTAGAATTGCAAGACATATTATACACCAGCTAAAGTCTTCAGCTATACAGCTGGATTCTATACTCTAATTTTTGTACCTTGAAAAGAAAATTCTTTAGAAAGTGCACTAAACCAAATACAAGATTATTCTGTAGCTTTTCAAAACCAGAATCATAGAACCATAGAATGGTTTGGGTTGGAAGGGACCTTAAAGATCATCTAGTCCCACATGCTGTGCCATGAGCAGAGACACCTTCCACCAGACCAGGTTGCTCAAAGCCCCATCCAACCTGGCCTTGAACACTGCCAGGGAGGGGGCAGTCACAGCTTCTCTGGGCAACCTGTTCTAGTGCCTCACCACCCTCACAGTGAAGAACTTCTTCCTAATACCTAATCAAAATTCAGTCTCTTTTAGTTTAAAACTGTTAGTCCTTGTCCTATCACTACAGAATCTCATTTAACAGTTTTATACACACACTTACTGTGTCAACAAATCAACAGCACTTGGGAGAGGAGGAAGAAGTCTCTGAACAACTTCGTCCGTAAGAAGACCAGCACAGTGGGAAACAAAGCTTTTGATAGCTAGAAAAGGAATTGGATTTTAACTTAGTGTGAGATATCCAGAAGACAAAAAATCACATTAGTGAAGTAAACACATTATTACCTCACTAATAATTTAAAAGTAGAACAAAGCACGCAATAAAAAATTTAAAATATTTTGACCAGTAATTTACGAAACTGATAAAAATCTCAAATGACAAAAGTCATATTTACAGATGTACTGTTTTGGTGTCTCAGCTTGGACTTCCATATCTGACTTTGAATTGCCTATATACATGCAAGCATATTTTGCTTTTGTTATGAATTGAGTTATGGGATGTAACTCAACTCCACGATAATTACATGATAATAATAAAATAAATAAATATATAAATAAAATAAAAGAAAAAAATTGGAGAAGGATGATGATCAGATGACCAGCTGTTTGCTTTGATAGTTTTCTATTTAAATTCAGCTTGCTCACTGTAGTCTAAGAAACAACTTGTACGTACACAAGTATTTTTCATTATTTACAGAAAATTAACCTTGAGTTTAGTTTTCAAAAAGCATGTAGAGAACATATAGTATTAAAGACCTATTTCCAAAAGAAAAAAAAAATTAAAAGTTAATTGTTTAGATTACTTCTAAAATGAAATTACTATCGAATTCCAGACTTTCTGATAAATTTTAATAGTGAGAGACAGGAGCAATCATTATACTAGGGTTCACATTTCTGCAATGCAAAGGACCCTTTAGTACTTTAGAATACATGACTGAAACACATTAAGTATTTGAAGGTCACTGCAGTCATCTCGTGGAAACCCAAATTCACAGTATTTCATGATGAAAAATTGCAACCTACCAGACAGCAGGCAAATAGAGAGTACTCTTTACTGGCTGAGAATTGCAACTTCCTTATTGTAATTTTTACCTGAGTCTTTCCACTCTCACAAATGTGTTTGACTGACTCACCAATTCTATTCTGCTTACAGTAAGTTACCTATTAGGAAACAGAACTGCTATTTACCAAAAATAATAGACTGTATAAACAACAGTTTATACGCCTGGTTTGGGTCTTCATTCATTACCGTGATATGTATTTAAAACAAGAGAAGCGAAGCAACCTTCTTGATATCATTTACTGCTTGGCAACCAACTGACTAGAAGAAAAAGAGGAAAAACAGTCTTGGGGGTTTTTTTCGTTGGTTTGTTTTTTTTTTTTTTTTTAGAAAAATGAAACACATGTACATATGCAGAGAGAGATCTATAGGTAAATCTATATATACAAGCACATAGCTGGGGATTGAACACATCCTTTACCACCCAGTGACAAAAATCAATACAAAGTATCATTGTTCTTTCAGAAAGAAAAATAAACAAACAGCCCAACTATAAATATGCAGAGAAAGACACAGTGAATCCCACTTACCACACAGAGCACCAGCACGACCTTCCAGTGTTACTTGCCAGGTAAACGAATCTCCTCGTGTCTTCTCTGTTTCTAGGTCTTTAGGGGATGATGGAAAGATGCATTTCCACAGTAACAGCATTCGTGGCAGATGGTGTTGGACAACTGCAGGACCTGTAAACGTTGACAGTTGTAGCGCCAATGTAAGGATTAATAAAGTGATATTTTCTCTTTGGTTCTTTTTTCTATGTTCACAAAATCTTTACAGTCATGAAAACTTTATGCTACTTTCCCAGCCTTCTCATATATAATTTCTCAAACATTTACTGTCTTGGTACTCTATTTTCATACGTAACTACACACCCACTGACACATTTACACCAAGCCAACTGTAAGCTCTCTTTTACTAAGTACAGACCCTGTGGATCACAAGCATAAGAGACATGTAATAAGCAATAGTGATGTTCAGAAAAACAAACATTTGTTATAGGATAATGCACCAGGTGTGATTTCCTAATCTAAGAAAAAACTGGGAGCTGCTGGGCAGAATTAATAGCTGAAAACATGAACGGTGCCTTAAAATTATGAACAAAATAGATAAAGCACATTCATTGTTAGTAATTTAGTGATCACAGTCAATCTGACCACTAATAAATATCAGAAAGTTCTGTAAGATTTCAAATGCCTGACAAGAGGGAAATACAAATGATTAGCTCATTTTGTGCTGGGTTAGATGTTTAAAAACATCAGTGTAATTCTTCACAGCCACAAAGACATTTGATTAGACTGACTTTGAAATTTATCTTCTACGTTTAATTAACAGGAGTCTCAGTCAGTCACTGTTTTTCAGACATTGCTCCCAACGTACTAATAGCAAATTTGAAAGAAACGGATTTTATTTCAGGAAGTTTTTCTAAAATTCCAATTAGCATTTGTTTTTTTAGAATTATTTTGCAGTTGTAAATTAAATGAAACATCAAAAGAGCTAAAGTCAGAGACAGAACATGGAACAGCTTAATGGTGTTTAAGAAAAATTGTAGAAAGCTACTACCTAATGTCATGAGGGCCGCTATCAACAGCCATCCAGCCTGTGTTCGCTGCAGTGAAATGCGACTGTTCTGAGAAGCAGAACACAACAAATCCTCTGCTACTGTCATGATTACCTTTAAAGAGAAAAACAGAGCATCAGCATCTTAGTAACTACCAAATTTTTTTTCCATGCTATTTGCTGCGATACTTAATCCTGTTTCAGTGCCCCCAAACAGAATACAATCTGCCTCTCACACTATGGCATACTTGGGCTCACAAAGTTGCAATAATGGCCTTCAGCATCAGTCTGGGATGGCTTCAACAGTTCTGTGGGGTACTAGGTAAGTCACTTTGCTGCTTTGTCCCCTTTCTTTTATCAGCAGTAAAATGACAGCTGATAATTCTCACAAGAATACGCATTGCAAGGATAGAAGTGTTCTGATATTCTATTTATGCAACTATATAGAAAAAGGGTAGCATGAGACCTACAAATTGGAGATCAAGAGGGGTAATGATCTTTTTATCCTTGTTTTATAATAATGTCTACCATTGTCTGCTAGTTTTTAAACCAACAAATGGTATGACTGAAAAAACAAGTTAGAATAGTATAGTTAGAATTAATCCTATCTTAGCTTCTCCACAGTAATTGCAGGTGCCTACTATTCCATGCTAAATGCAAGCTGACAATCTGCTCGAGCACAAGCTACACAGAATTTACATGGAGGAACACACACTGTGTCTATTGACAGCTGCCGCAGTATAGCTACAAATGCTAAAAGTATTCTGCAAATGAGTTGCTTCATTTATGTTTCACATATGCCAAAAAGTTCTTCTTACATCTTGCATTATGTCTGGTCACCAAAACAAACTGCTTATGCATTAGTATTACAAGTAAGAAGTGTCATTATCAATAGCACCACTAAAAGCCTCAGTACGGACAACATGCTTCTATAACTTTTTTACACACTATAATTTATTTGGACAGTATAGACAACATCCTTCTAAAATTTATTTGCACACTTATAAAATGTCATGAAAGTTTGTACATGAAAGTTTGCTTCATGAAAGTTCGAAATTTGTACACTTCCAAAACTTCATGAAATACTAAGTCTGGAAATATTTGTTTCCCCAATTCCATAAGGCTATCAGGTGGTTGCAAGTGAAGAAATTTACTGTTACAGATTCCTAATAGAGTTAAAATATTTGGTTCTAAAATTAAAAGACTACCCTTGTTAAATTATAGTACTAAAAATCACTAACAGCTTAGTATACTTAAATTCCTTGTGAAATAAACATCCTAGAAAGGATTTCATTTAATGATTTCTGACAATTTTTCTCTATATGAACTAGGAAAAACATCTTATTTTTGAAGTTTTAGGTTTTTTAGGGTTTTGTTTGTTTGTTTTTAACTGAAGTATAAGCCATAGTAGGGAATGCTAAATATAAACAACCCCCTTAATTCTTCTATTTTCTGGAATAGGTTCCACCTGCAACACTAACCATTCTCTGAAAGATAAAAGCATTAATATAAAACAGCTTCTGTACAGGTCACTACTGTCTATGTTTGCTACTCCATTTTCAAAACTGCTCTATTTAACAGTGCTCTCTTTCAGCTCCTCGGAAGAGGAGCTAGTCTGGAATCTGGCAGTGTTCCTAGGAGAGAATGGAAAAGGGCTTTTGTCAACTCCTCTGTTTTCCCCCCCTGCCAGCTTAGTACAGAATACAGTGTTTCTCCCACACTTTCTGTGCCCTCCCATACTTCCACCTGGCCCTATTTCATACTATTCTATTACTCTAAAAGAAATCTTTGTTAATAATCTTGTTTCTCTGTTAAATAGAAACCTTAGCTCTGCTTAGGTGTATAGTATTTGAATGGTACCTCTCAGCTATATAACTGGGCAAACAATATTCATTTTGTTATTTCCCCATGGTCTTTCAGTAATCATGAGTGCAAGCTTTTAAAAGAAAAAAACAGGCTTATAAATTGTTTTCATCAGCAGTTCGGTCTTTGAATGTTGGGAAGTGTAGCTAGCAATGTCTGTTAAGGAATGGCATGGAACTGTTAGCATGCAACAACGTGGAAAGGGTGGGCTGGAATCACTGCAAGGAATTTTTTTCCTAATGTACTAGAGCATTCTTTTCATCATACAATGGCGTAATAACAACCCCCCCGCCCCCAAATCCTTGTGTCAAAGCATGCCACTTCTTCTCTAATATCCACTGGCTCAAGATCAGGATCAGTGCATCCCTATGAAGAAAAAAAATCAAGCAAAGAAGGCAGAAGGCCTGCTTGGATGAGCAAGTAGCTTCTGGGAAAATGCAAAGGGAAGAAGGAAGTTTACAACATGAGGGAAAAGGGACTGGCCACTTGGGAGGAATATGGGAATGCTGTCAGATTGTGCTGAGATGCTACAGGGAAGGCTAACTTGGATTTAAATCTGGCTAGGGATGTCAAAGACAACAAGAAGGGCTTCTTCAAATACATCGGTAGCAAAAGGAAGACTAGGGAAAATGTGGACCTGCTGCCAAATGAGGTGGGTGCCCTGGTGATGGAGCATAAGGAGAAGGCAGAGTTACTGAATGCTGCCTTTGCTTCAGTCTCTACTGCTAAGGCTGGTCCTCAGGAATCCCAGACGCTGGAGGTAACAGAGGAAGTTTGGAGAAAGGAAGACTTTCCCTTCACTGAGAAGGATAGGGTTAGGGATCTTTTACGCAAACTAGACACCCACAAATCCAGGGGCTGCACCCACGAGGGCCGAGGGAGCTGGCAGATGTTGTTGATAAGCCACTCTCCATCTTTGAAAGGTCACGGAGGACGGGAGAAGTGCCTGAGGAGTGGAAGAAAGCCAATGTCACTCCAGTCTTCAAAAGCATTCCCTTCACTGAGAAGGATAGGGTTAGGGATCTTTTACGCAAACTAGACACCCACAAATCCAGGGGCTGCACCCACGAGGGCCGAGGGAGCTGGCAGATGTTGTTGATAAGCCACTCTCCATCTTTGAAAGGTCACGGAGGACGGGAGAAGTGCCTGAGGAGTGGAAGAAAGCCAATGTCACTCCAGTCTTCAAAAGCAGCAAGAAGGAGGATCCAGGAAACTACAGGCCAGTCAGCCTCACCTCCAGCCCTGGAAAGGTGATGGAGCAGCTCACTCTGGATGTCGTCTCTAAGCACATGGAGGAAAAGAAGGTTATCAGGAGTAGTCAGCATGGATTCACCGAGGGGAAATCATGCTTGTCCAACCTGGTATGAGTGGCTGAGCAGATGAGGGGAAAGCAGTGGATGTTGTCTACCTTGACTTCAGCAAGGCTTTTGACACTGTCTCCCACAACATCCTCATAGGGAAGCTTAGGAAGTGTGGGGTAGACGAGTGGACAGTGAGGTGGATTGACAACTGGCTGAAGGACAGAGCTCAGGGTTGTGATCAGTGGTGCTGAGTCCAGCTGGAGGCCTGTGACTAGTGGTGTTCCCCAGGGGTCAGTACTGGGTCAGGTCTTATTCAACATATTCCTCAATGACGCTAAACTGGGAGGAGTGGCTGACACACCAGAGGGCTGTGCTGCCATTCAGCGAGACCTGGACAGGCTGGAGAGCCAGACAGACGAACCTGATGAGGTTCAACAAGGCCAAGTGTAGGGTCC